CAACGCAAAGCTTCTGCCCATAGGTGCCTTGAACTTCAGGCGGGATCGTTGGACTGCTACCTGGGCACACAACTTCGACGAACAAACACTGGTGGCACCGGCGCATCTTTCGAGAAGGTAGGAGTAAAACACCAACCTGTGGGACGACAATCATTTGACTTCATGTGCCATGTCTTTTCAGTAACAATCCGTTGAACTCATGAGCCGGGGCAGAGTTCAGGACGCATCAGATGCTCGTCTACAACCACCCGATTCTCTAAGGGAGCTGCCGATCCGCCTCTGCATGACATGCGTTTCGGGAATCATGTCAAGTGCATTGTACCAGAGCCGTCGAAAGTCCTGAAGCAGTCGTTCTTGTTTTACGGTTGCTGGTGTGCCATTGGTTCAGTTGGAAGCAATCGAGATCATCATTGTTCATTTCAGTTGCACACACGCACTAAATGCCGTAAACATAACAAAACCGCCCTAAACAAGTCTTCAGACGTTCCTGGTGCCCCTGCTTTTGTAAGTCTCCGGGAGCTCCACTCCCGTTGACTGCATCTGTTGCAGTCTCTCTTTCTTTCTTGCGGGGCTTAGGGGTCACGTCGTGACCCGCAGGCGCTTGGCCCGCCCGCCCGCTTCTGGTTTTACTAAGCGGCCGGCTTTTGGGGTCCTCATGACTACGGCAATGGTTGCACGGTTTGCTCTGTGTTTGTGGGCTGGCACCCCCGGACCCTCAACACTAAAACACCAACACAACCCCCGCCTCATCTCCGCCCCTGTGGCTCTCATGCCGAGTTGGTGCCATCCGATGTTGTTTGGAGCTCCCCATGCGCAGGAGTGCTTTGCAAAGCAACAAAGGGCTAGTGTTCACAGCAACATATCATTAATTACCAACTGTCTAGTTCCCCCTCTCACTTTGCTGGGCCGTGCTTTACTACAAAAAGAAAGTTCCTCAGCTCCGAGTGGCCCCCCTTTTGTTTCGCGCCAACAAAACCCCGCTGTTACTGTCGCGTCTCTCTCTTTGCTTTGCTTTGCTCTGGGGCGTGGGAGGCAGGCAGTCTCTGTCTCTGTCTCTGTCTCTCTCTCTCTCTCTCTCGCTCGCTCTTCTGCCCTAAGTTGACACATTCGGGTAGAAGTTTGAGGAAACATAAACTGATTGGACATCACAACGTATGCCTGCGAAAATCAGCGATACTTGCGCCGATTTGGGGTGTTGGCAAACGTACTCGCACGCAGCACGAGGAGCGGTCGGTCCATACTCGAGGAAGACACAGCTGTAAGCAGGTAAAGTACTGGATTGGGTTGCCAGGAGTTCTCGACCAACTATTTGAGCACATCAGTACGCTCCGGAGCAGTGGTCTTTCCATCATGTTGAAGCGACATGCAGGCATCTAATTGCAACCGCATCTGCCGAGCAAATCTTGCACCACGTTTTGCCGCGATGTCTGAACACGCACGAACTTCAGAAATATTTCATAAGGGTTTGGAAAAACTTCGCGCACACAAAGTGAGGATCAGGCCGGGCTTACAACCGATATCGCTTTGTGCGCGTACCCGACCTGTCCGTCGGTCAGCGGCTAGAAACCTAGCGTCGACTACGTTAAACAAAACGAAGAGATACGCCAGAATAAGGCGAAGCGAAACAAACAAACGGACAGACAGATCAGAAATAGAGTCACGCTGAGAGACGCTGAGAGGACTTCAGGAACTCTTGGTTGAAGCTCTGCAGTATGAGGCGTCGAAGGGTTCCTATGAGTCTCGCCTGCCGAATGCCGCGGCAGGCTCCGCTTTGATCGTCGTGTCTGTCATGCCAAAGGCGCTCAGTGCGAAAAAGAGAGGCGAGCATAGTTGGAGAAACGCTGCTTGCGCGTGCGAGCTGTTCCAAAACGGCCCGTAAGCATGCGAAAGCACACACACACACAAAAAAAAAAAAAAAAAAACAGATAAAAAGCCAAGTACTGCCAAGAGCTGCCATGGTCAGCCAGGAGGCAGCTGCAGGAGTCCGGAACGGTGCTGCTCAGGGACTGCAAATTCACCTCATGAGACACGTGGCCCCAGGCTTCATCGAGTGAGTTCGAGCTTTCCTCCCTTTCTCCTGTCGCCCTCCTCCCCTTCCCTCCCCGTGCCTGCCTTACCTCCTGCCCCCCTCCTCTTCTCCCGTGAACCATGCACAAAGGTTTCGCGGACCGGAAAACTGCAGTCCGGCTGCGTTTCGGCCGCTGGGGCTGGGGCTGGGATGGCCAAAGATTCATCCTGCTCGGCTATGTCAGTATTAAGTCCTCAAGCCTCTTCGCACATCCATAAGTGTGCTGAAGCAGCGAATCTTGCAGAGACTGCGAATCATCGTATTATTGTGAGGGGTCAGTGGCTCAAGACGCAACCTGGACGTGACTAGCTGCCTAGCTCCAACAAACAAAGCAGTAAGGGGATTCGGTGGACAAACCTTAGTGGAACACGGCTACGCCCCCACAAGGGTAGACTTTGATGCCGGAGTCACTGTCGTTTCCGGCACCACGACCGCCCCGGCGCTGTCCTCACATGAGGAATTGCATTCATGTGCTGGCCCTCAGCGACAGTTCGTGCCGACAGTCCTCAATCTTGAAAGCGATTGTGACAGCCTGCTGGCTCGACCGGATGAAGGTGACGATGTGCGGAGCACTGACATCCATGGCGCTTGTATAATTGATACCGAGGTTGTACTCTGGGAAAGCCGGAGCATCTGGGTTGCCTCGACAACATCGAAGCGCAGGAAGGCATGTCTAGCACGTACTTATTCGTTTATTCGGTTATATACAGATATGTACACCAAGAGCCATATACACATGTTTTGCCTCCCGCCTGGCTAGGACGAACCTACGATGCAGGGACATATATGTATATGCGTATGTATGCATACATATAGAATCGCATATATTTATATACATATATAACTATTATACAAAGAGACAGAGAGAGAGAGAGAGAGAGAGAGAGAGAGAGAGAGAGAGCTGTGTGTGTGTGTGACCTTCACATACTTCCTTGGCAACGCGTTTAAGTCGCGTGTCGGCCAGCACACAATGATCACGACACGGATGTGACGTTCAAAACAGCACACACTTCGCTGCCAGCCCTGACATGATCTTGTGCTGAAAAGGCAAGCTGCTGCTTGTTGGCGTGGGGCAAACCACCTGGGCAACATCAACAAGGTGCCATGTCTCGTAGCCGAATGCCACCCAAGGCAGCGCGGTCAGAACCGCAAGCATCGGCATCGTGGTGCAAACTTCGTAGGCAAGACGTGGGCCGGGCGCGATGTTCGACCCTACCCAGTTTGAGCCTGGAGGCTGAAGCAACATGCGGTAAAATGCTGGAGCCCCGAATGCTTGACCATACCACGTATGCCCAAGGCTGTGCATCCACAGCAGACAAGAACACATGAATGGATTTGAACCCAGTGATCATTCAGCGCAGTCTCTGTGCCTCTTGCTCCTGCGGAGATGCAAGGAGCCTGGAACCAAGCCTTAGTGCAACTTGGGCAGCAATCAAAAGCAACGGCCTTATGTTGCTGTGGTGCACCCACTGTTCTGTTCTGCTGAAACCCTGAGTCAAGTAGCCGAGCAGGCTGCCCAGTACACTGTACAGTCGCCGTGTGGAGATGACACCTGCAAGCACCGTTCGGTGTAAATCGGGTCACAGAGTCTCCGAGCTTGTGCGTATGATATTGAGCTACTGAGGTATGTTGAGGCAACCGGCACCAGCACTCAGCCAGCGGAAGCGGACATGTGGGGGCCTGTGCATGTGTCACGGTGCTGCCACTAGAGAACCCGACGTTGTCGCAGCCTAGAGCGTGAAGCATGCTGAATGCCTACAGCCAGATCTGCCCAACAAAACAGAAACGCAAAAAAGGAAACCACGCGGTTGTCGTTCAAGTTGCCTCACTCTCTGGGGCAGTTGCTCTTGGATTGACTTAACGGCCCAATTCGGTAAACCAACGAAGACACAGGCATCTATACTTCTTTGGCCTGGCAGCGCTCCTCATTAGACGCACGCACAACATCACTGAGGGCCCGATAGGAGCTGACTGCAAGCAGCTTCCGACACAGCCTCCTTCATGCAAGGCAGTGAAGAAGGCGGCGCCGAGCAGCAACAACGCCCCCAAGGCAAAGCGAGTCCGCACTGATGCCTTCACCTGTGCTACAGGAGTTAGAGATGGCAGTCAAAGATCAAGCTTTCGCCACGGAGAGGCGCATCATGTGTGCAAATCCATTCAAGCCGAAGGGCTTACATGAACTTCAAAGGGTTCTGGACGAAGTTCTCAGGTACAGATTTAAACTTTCACGCGAATACGCACCAAACAGAGGTCTGTCAAGCTTGTTGGCGTTGCAATTGATACCGGGTTGGACGACTCGTTCACTAGAGTGCGTTTGTTAGTGATGTAGGACCAATGCAGGAGACAATTAAGCAGGGTGCAGCTTTTGCGGGGCGCAGGTGCGGTGCAGGTGTAAACCAGAGAACATCGTGTGGGATACGCACAATCCAGCCAATTCTAAAGCTTCTGGAAGCTTCAGCTACCCCGAACATCGAGCCGAGAGGTTCCAGGCAAGGCGCTAAAAGTCCGGATCGCACAGTGTCCGACCGGGAGCTTCTGTCCATCGGCTCTACAAGCCCCAGGAGCGACTAAAACCCTGACCGCGAAGAGAAGCAAAGCTGATGATGACGAAGATTCCGACGAAGACGCTTTCAGAACCGTGAGCCACCATACTGAACCAGAACACAGACTTAATTCGCCTTCGATTTGGAAGTTACAGAGCAGCCACTCATGAAACCAAGACTGAACACTTCCGGATGGTTCTCGAGCATGCTTTGCTTGCAGGCTCGTGGAAGCAACTGGCACAGCGAAAGATCTTGCGCTCTCGTAAAAGCTGTAAACTGCGCAATCCCAGCCCATGATCAGCGAGTTCCTTTCGGCTCGAGCTTTCTGGCTCGACTCCTTGATGAATAGGCGAAGCCGACAAGAGATTTGCAAGGGGCCGGGGGCAGACCGTTTCTTCAGCCGTCTTCTTCAGCGTGGGCTTCAGCTCCTCGAGCTCAGCCTTCGACACGCGTGGAATACCCTCCGCCCAACGATCCAGTCTATCCAGGGCCGGGCAAAGGGCTGCACAGTGAGCCATTGGTGCAAACTGAGCCGGTGGCCTGCATCGTGGTGACTTGCTCCTCAGTGGACATGATCTTGTCCAGGCCGACATCGTACCTGCTCAGCAAACTCGCCCCGACGCTCACAGCTCTTCGGAACACCATCAGTGCTTCAGGGTCAGGCGCTGCCAACACAGTGCATGACACATACACTTCCCCCGGCCTGGACTTGATCTTGGACACCTCGTCCTGCTTGTTGGCCAAAAGACCTGGTGGGTGCAGACCGGAGGTCTGGGATGATGTGCCATCGATGTGTCCCGGCCTTTGAATGCATTGATCAACTCCAGGTACGATGTCGGGGTAACCTCGGCACCACAAGGGCAGAACAGGTCGCACGTGGGCTTTGAACGATGCTGATGTTGCTTCGACCGGAACTTCTTGCATCCTCTGCCTTCTGGACGAACCAAGCTTTTGCCAACTCAAGAGCTCGTCTCCTTCGTTGAGAATCCTGGCTGCCCTGGCTCCCGCGTGCAGACCTACTTCCCGAAAATGTCGAGGGAGCTCCTGGCTCCTGCCTCTGGTCTGCCGAAACCTTCAAGGCTAGAGGTAAGGCCAGCGCGTAGTAGTAGCGCTGCACCTCCTTCTGGAAACGCTCAGCCAAGGTGAAAACCTTAGAGAGGGAAGCCAGGCTTGTCGGAGCAAGGAGCAAGACACAGTGAAAGCCTGCTAAGGCCTCGACACTCTTCTGCATTGCCACGCAGACATTCACCACACCTGGACGACATGAATCTTGTGCGTAATGCGGGAGCTCGAAAGCTAGGTACAATGAGACAGCTCAGACAGCTCTGCGCATGAAGCATTTTGTCATGGCATATCAGATCTGAAAAACTCGTGAATCGTGAAGCTAAGCCCCTTCTCAACACGGAATCCCGAATGCCATCCCTGAATACCTCCGAAAACACTCCACCAGAAACCTGTGAATCATGGCGGCCTCCCGTTCCGGGTCTGCATACATCGCTTCATTTGCAAAAGCCAGCTGACCAGAGGCATCCCACAACCTAGAATCCTTTCTCCATCTCTTCAAAGCGATCCGAGGCAAGGTCCAACACACCCTGCTTCCCCCTCAAGGACAAGGACGTGGCCTTTCAGAACGTCTTCTGGCATTCCAGTTTTGCCGAGGAAGTGATTTGCTACCTGTGCGTGCTGTTTCGCCGCTTCAAGAACACGATCCAAGCTTCGGCCTCTTCATCCGTTCCTTACACTGAACAAATGGCTCCAGCATCCGCGACCTCTGGCTCTCAACCAGTGCAACAACAGCCCAAATCCTATCTCGACAGGCCCTGGATGCCGTGACCAGCACGTTCACCTACCAACAGCTGCGACATCACCAACGAATCCCTGCCCTGCTCCCCCAAACAGCATTCAGTCCGCGCTCGACTAAGCCTTGTGCACCCAAGACATCCCAGCGCTCCGAGTCTGTTCTAGCTTGGCTGCTGCTCGATGCACTGTCGAGCTCTTCGCAGGATGCTGGTATTGCACTAAGCAATCCAGTGCTGGACGTTCCCGCATGTGATTGCCGGCAAGAAGATGTTGCAATTTGCCGTTTGCATGGGCTAAGAAGGTTGTGCTTGTACGCACATCAGCACCGAGAAATGCACAAAGGCTTTCTAAGGATGCTACGCATAACGAATGTAGCGGACGCGGTGAGGCAGGGCCATGCAGGTCTCTGCACCACAGGGTTCTGCACCATAGAGTTGCTAGAAGGCTAGAACCCCCTGTTGCAGGATGTAGGCTTCGACTTGCATGCGGGGATGTACCTGCTACAGAGCAGCATGGGCTGAGTCGGCCGCACTCTGCAGAGCAGCATCAGGCCACTCGTGGAACCTTCAATTTCGAACTTGGGGTCAGGATGTGGCTTCTTCGTTCATGTGGATGTCTCATTTGGGGCGCTTGAGGGCTTGAGGGTGCCGTCAGGCGGAAGCTCCGGGCTTCATTCCCTAGCCCTCAGGATTTTCAACCGTACCCTCTCGTCACTGTGGATGTAGCCTTATGTCTGCATCGGAAAGACGGACATGGATCCTCCAGGCAAGACAGTACTGCATGCAGAACTGCTGGCCGGCGTTATGTAGAGTGTTGAAGATCTCGTATGCTCGTCGAGTGCAGAACTGCTAAGAAGCCTGAGGGCGAGACCAATCGATTGTGCAGCAGTTGACCAGTGAAGGGAACATCCGCACCTGTGGTTGCAGCCAGAAACATCACCCAGAAGGGGCAGACTTTCAACGGCTATTCTTCAAAACGTTTGCGAGTAGCACACTGCCCTACTCATCAAGGTGGAACTATCTGAGGCTTCGGACCCTGCGACGGAAGTTCTCGCCAATGGGCGAGAAAGCCAAGACCTCGACTATTGAAGGACAGGAATATCGGAAATACAAACTGAGGCTTCCGAAGCTTATGCCGAAGTCTCGGAAAGGTATGCGTTGGCGGTTCTACCTCGAGACTCCGGCGGCAGTGTGCCTCAAGTAGGCCAACTGATCTGGTCTGGTGTGACATTCACGTGGCGGAATCCTTCTTATTGGGTGTTTGCTGGAAGCTTCGTAGCACCTGGCAGGACAGCTGCATATGCTCAACGACACTCTGTGACATCAAGGGCCTGGAACAGAATCCTCCCACTTGGCCTCACGCAATGTGCATATTCTTCATGCACTGCTCGATGAAAAAGGCCATCACCTGGCCACACTAGATGGCCGATCATCCATGCTTGAGGATGTCTACGAGATCGCATACAGGTGCAGGGAGCTCACATCCCGCTTTGCGCAATGAAAGGCTCACGCATGTGTTCTCATGTCCAGACGCATTACGACTACAGTTGAAGTGCCGTGATCTCGATTGCACGCGAAAGTTGTCACAACCCCGCTCTTGCATTCCAAAACCTTGGACCCCGACTCAGACACATAGGTCCTGTCTGGCCAAACAAACAAAATCCCACATTCAAACCCTCCAAAGCCCCAGAGCTCAGGACCCGAAACCATTCCAGCCCACACCCAAAGAAACGGGCCTCGGCAGGGCCATGGCGCCCCTCCTTGGCAGCCAGGTTGGTGCAAAGCTCCAAGATCTGCGTCTTGTCCTGGAGCTGTAAACGGCAGGACCACAAGCGGACTGAGGGGCCATTGGTCAGAAGGCAAGTGCATTGCACTCGCCATACCGTCCCAGTCTTCCGTCTTCTTAAAATGGAAGCTGTGTTTGGCTTGCATCGCATGCCATCAGAACCGGTTAAGCTGCATGTAAACGACAGCATAAGACGGTTCGGGTACCCGAGCAGCAAAGTGTCAGAATCCTCCCCTCAAATGCGTCCTCAGCGTTGAAGAGGTTTGGGACTTCTCCTGTGTTCAGAAGTCCCGACACCTCAGATAAGATAAACATCGAGCCGCGGTTCACTCAGACGTCGGAGCCCACCAGATCTCTGCCCAGCCCCCCGCCTCTTCGACGAAGTTCTCGTTCGCAATCTGCGTGTCTGGAAGCAGAAAACACACCTGCATGCGGAAGGTCATGAAGCAGATGCAAACGGGAGCAAAGTTCTTCTCGATTTCACGAGCTTCCGGACTAGAGCAGTATGGCAAGTATGGGGAATTGTCTCGAAACAATGGGCTTACATGATCATGCCATCCAAGATTGAGGGAAACAACAGGCTTACATGATCGTACCATCCAAGATTGAGATCTCTCTCTCTCGCATAAGGTCTCTTGCTTGCTTGCATGCAGGTCTGAAGGACCTCGTCCGGGGTTGAGGGACAGCGCAGGTTCCCCCGACTGAGCTTGCACACCCTCCCTGCAAAACACCCCTCCTAAACCATAACCATGTAACCATGCGCAACCAGCGAGCTCCAGTCGGGTCATCCATGGGCCTTCCAGATACAGCTGGGACTGGTGTGGCTGTGTCAAACAAAAACTGCTGAGCATTCCCAACCACCACTGCTAATAGCAACTCGACCGTAAACAAGGCATACCAAGGCACTAGGAACACTTTGTCACCGGCTTGGCCCCCCTTCGTCGAATGGGCTCAACCCCTTCGACTGACTCGATACATCCCCACCTCACCTGACTTCCCACCTTGTCCAAAACTGAACCTCGCACAGCCTTCTCTCTCTCTCTGTCCCTCTCTCTCTCGCAAACGACAGGCAGCAAGAGCTATTACCTGGCGAGGCCCGCACATTCAAGAATGATCTTTGAATACGTCGTATGGGTTTGCGGTCGGAACCCGACCCTGGCGTTTTGCTAGCTTGACGAATAGACCTCGGCTACTCCCGAAACAACCAAGTTTAGAACGACCAGGAAGACAAAGAACCCAAAGACATCAAAGAAACCAACAGCACAAATCCCCTATATAGGAGATCCAAATTTAAAACACACACACAAACACACACGCACAAACAAAGATACACCAAAAAAACCCACCAAAGTGTTTTACTTCGAACATCCCCACCCTAGCGCCTTGTCCTTCCTACACGCAAATCCTAAGACCTAAAGAACCCGAGCCTAAACCTTAAACCCTGGTGTTCCCGAGCACTCCAGGGATTCTCACGGTATGTGGGGCTGGGCACTCCAGGGATTCTCACGGTATGTGGGGTTGGGCACTCCAGGGATTCTGTGGGGTTGGGTACTCCAGGAGGTAATCTCAGCGGGCGAGGAGTAATAGCTGACTTTAGACTCTAACAACCCCACACCGAGGTGGGGAACAACATCAACATCACAAAACCCGCAGGGTTACCCAAAGCCACAAACACAGCCAAAAAACAAACAACAAAACAGTGAAATAACATCCACGAGGAGATCCAAAAACACAAAAACTGGTGGCTTTGTTTCTTGGGCTTGGATGTCCTCCGGGATGTTGCTGTTTTTCGTTCTGGTTTCTTTGGCGTCTGTGGTGTCCTTGGTGTTGTTGTGTTTCTGTATTTTCTTCTGTTTTTGGTTGTTGGAAAATTGATATTGGATCTCCTCTCGGATTCTGCTTTTTGGTATGGTCATTTGGATTCGTTTGGTGCTTTTTGTCTTTTGGTTGTGCATCTCCTCTGGGATTTTGTCTTACGCATTTGGCTTATATGGGGTAGTTCGTTTTGAGTTTTTGGTGTTGGATCTACTTTGGGGCGTTGTTGCTGCTGTTGGTTTATGTTGTGGTTTCCTTGTTGTGGATTTCCTCCTTGATTTGGGGTTTGCGACAATTTCTGCAGAGTGAGGCCTGCAGCGATCGCTGATACTAGTAAGTACGAGTTATCCGATTATTCCATTAGCTTGAAGAGAAGAGAAATAATGCGAACTTGACTGAAACAACTGCCAACCAGCGAACGAAATCAGCAACATTAAAAGGAGGGGGCGAACCGGGTTTGTTGATTTCGGTTACGGCTAATTCAATACATACAGGGACCCGGAGAAGTGGGTCCCGGTTCCGTGCCCCCCCTGAAGCTTAAAATCTGAAGCTGAAATTAGGCGCCTGCATTTTGCTGGCTGAAGCCGAAAGTCGGCTGACGCTCGAATTCGGCGCCGATATTCGATCCGGCAATCGAGTGAAGCCGAAAATGGTCCTGATGCCTCAATTCGCCGCTGAAGATTGAAGTCGGTTCACCAAAGGCCGACGCCTAAAATGCCCTTGACGCCTAAATTCGGCGCTGAGACTGGTCGCCTGTCCGAATGCGGAGGGGCTGTCATCAGCTCGGTGCCTTCAGCCGAGACTGTGCCTGAAGCCGAATTCGGCGCTCGAAATCCCTGAAGCTTAAATTCGGGCTGCTGCCAGTCTGAAGCCGAAAATGTGACTGACACCGACATTCGGCGCTCGAATTTGTTGAAACTTAAATTCAGTCTGCCCACAAATGCAACACAAAGAAACGAAACGCATGCATTAACTGGGCGGAAGAAACAAGGAGCCGCACTTTTCTATTTGTTTGCTTTTTGGTCATGTCAAAAGATGAATGGCATAAAGACAGAGAACTGAAAGGTACAAGTGAAGATTGGTTAACCAACAAAAACAATGAAAGCATGCATTTAGGGCCTTTGCGCGCAAGGCTACGATTGATAACTGAAAATACAATGAAGTGAGCCAAAGGAGAGAGCGGAACGTAAGCGTTATTTCATTCTATTAACTTAGCTTTTTGCTCACCTGCATTTTTGTCACCAGCTAACCATGAAGGCTTTGGAATAATCTAATATGTATTTTGAGGACTACCCTTCGGAGCCTCATGAAAATTTAAACCAGTTGTGGAAAGAATGGAACTATACGATCACGAACAAGGCATGTGTCTCCAAAGCCAGAACTTCTATAATGTAAAATATTGCATTGAAGACCTTCCTAAAGGTCTACAGAAGTGGTATATGGCACTTTTAGTTGTTGGTGATGGTGGTGGTGGTGGTGGTGGTGGTGCTGCTGCTGCTCATGGTGCTGGTGGTGAAGGTGCTGGTGGTACTGGTGCTGGTGGTGCTGGTGGTGCTGGTGTGGATGGCGAGGTTCTTGTTGTCGTGCAGCGGCCGGCGCTAGCGTCGGCGTCAGCGTCGTCTTCATCGTTGGTGTTCGTGTTATTGTTCTTGCTCGTGTTCTTGTAGTTGTTGTTCCTGTAGTAGTTGTTCTTGTCGTCGTCTTGGTTGTTGGTGCTGTTGCTGCTATCGTTGCTCTTGGTGGTAGCGTTGGTGCTGGTGTTGCTGCTGTTGTTGGTGGTGGTCGTGGTGTCTGTCTTCGTGTTGATATGGCTGTGGCTTCGGTTGTGATTGTTGCTGTTGTTGTTGTTGTCACCATGCCATGGGCTGTTACTGCTGCGTTGTTGTTGCTGTTGCTGCTATTGTTGTTGTGGTCATTATCGTTGTCGTCGTTGTCATGGTCGCCGTTCTTGTCGTCGCTGTTGCCGTTGTCATTGCCGTTGCCCCTGTTGTTGCTAATGTTGCTGCACTGTTGCTGCTGTTGCTCTTGCTGTTGCTGCTGCTGGTTTTGCAGCCGTTGCTACTGGTGCTGCCCTTGTGCTTGCCTTTGCCCTCTTGTCCTTGTGCTTGTCCTGGTCGTGGTAGTGGTGGTTGTCGTTGTGGGGTCGTTGTCGCTGGTGCTGTTGTTGCTGTTGTTGCTGTTGTTGTTGTTGTAGTTGTTGTTGTTGCTGTTGTTGTTGTTGTTGGCAGGTGTTGCGTCTGCCGTTGTTGTCTGCGTTGGTGTTGCTGGTGGTGCTGCTGTTGTTGTTGTTGCAACTGTTGGTGTTGCTGTTGCTTGTGGTGCTGCTGTTGTTGTTGTTGTTGCGGCTGCTGTTGGCGCTGCTTGCTGTTGTTGTTGTTGTGGTTGTGGTTGTTGTGCTTGTTGTGGTTGTTATGTTGATTGTGGCTGTGGTGGTGATTTTAAACAACATGCAGTCTTGTTCGGACGAGCTCCCTGCACGGAACAGCCACAACACCACCACCTCCAACAGCAACAACCACAACAACAACAACAGCGACAACGACAGCAACAACACAAACCCATCTAAAGGTGAATGCCCGAAACTGACATGGTCACTTAACGAACCCACAGGTCCTTTTCTTCTCTTGTTCGCTGCCTGCTCGGTAACGCCCTCGCAGCGCTCAGCGAGAAAAATCAAAAGTGGACTCAGGCACAGACTCAACAGGTGCCATGCTCTTCATCGGAGCTCGGATCTCGATTTTTGTTGTGCTTGTTGCCATGTCGGCAGCATGCCTCAACAATGCACAGCTGTTCTGCGGCTTCCTGCAGGTCTGTTGATGATTTGTTGTCACTAGATGATCATTAGCTCTGACGACAATGGCCCGTCAGCGAAGGTACACTGACCGTATGCGGCAGACCACAGGGTTGTAAAGAGCGTTGGCTGATGCGACAACTTTAAGCTGTCAACTCCGTGGGAGGCTAATCAATAACGGAAAAGTGAAACAAGCGGTTCAGAGACTCTGTCTCCATCACCACGGCAGGACGGACGGTTAAAGCGGAGCAAACAATGTTTAAAAAGTCATTTGGCTCCCAGGTCCTACACCTGCTGCGCTTCGTATCGTGAGGGACAGGATTATCCATGTCCAAAAGCACCTCGTGACAGAGCTGCCTGTGCCCAAGACAAATCCAGGGCGCGGCAACGAGGATGTTGATCAAAAGGCCGTAGAGCCACAAGAGAAAAACATGTCCGGTTCGACATGTTGCTTCAAAGTAGCAATAGTATGTTTCAGCCTGTTGATGCTTAGTTTTCTTGACTAATCAAACCAACTCGTCTGACAAACCAACGGCTGAAGGCAGCACTGGAAGCATTTTGCCGGAGTCTTGCTCAGAAAGTGCCGAGTCCTGCTGAGACAGTGTGCTTGAGCTCGCGGTGCCCGAACAGCAAAGCAGTATTTTGGGAGCTCCTGGAAAAAAACAGAGGACCTCCGCAGTACCATCGATGCTGTCCGTCTGCCCCGGGCCACACCGGACCGTGACATTCTCGAAGCAGAACCTTCGTGTCGAGTCTGCCGTGCCAGCCTCGCTTGCCTTGTTCAGCAGCTCCGCTCCAAAGTCAGGAAAGAGATCAAGAACACCAGCACCTCGGACTACTCGCAATGTGGTAGAGAATCAGCGCATGTCAGCAACTTAACTATGTCAAAAGAGCAAATATGCGCGCGCTCACAGGGACGTGTGCGAGAACATGCTTGCACCTCGCTCGGCACACAATCACTCTCGCCGCGCTCCCTTCCTTTCAGGGTACAGGACTCTCTTTCTTTCCTGCTGCCGGCCTTAGGGGTCCTCGCAGGCATCACTTGGCCCGCCCGACCACTTTTGGTTTTCCTAAGTGGCCGGCAGGACTCTCTCTCTCTTTCTTTCGCCAGGGCTATGGTGGAGGGGTGTTGCGAATCTTCTTCCACGCAGCCAGGACAGGTCGCGACAGCTACCTGCCCGCCCCCGTTGGGTCACTGGGCATGTTTTTGACACTCACACTCGGACAAGCCTGGCAAGGTCTGCAGAAGTAGGTTCGACGTGACTATGTGTGAAGCCCAGGAAGTAGATTCACTTACCCAGGTGAACCTACTTACGGCGGAGTGAGCTGTATGATCCCCCAAGGCCGGGGGTTGCGAGTCTCTCCCCCTCCCTCTCTCTCTTTCTTTCTTTCGCCAGGGCTATGGCGAAGGGGAAGTTCCCCTACGCCGCGCGCAGTGTGCGCCCCCGACAGTTGTGGGTGGCAAGATGTTACATGCAAGCCCTCGCCAGTTCTCGCCCTTATTAGCTGCGAGCTGCACTAGGCGACTGGACTCTGAGCAAGGCACGACGGACCAACTTACAAATGAAATACTGGTAGGTAATGATAGTAGAGAGTCCCAGGAGTTTGTCGCACTAGTTTCCGGATCGGTTGCTGTTCCCCGATCTCTGTGGCGGCTAGTGTGGGGTCTGCCTGCAATGAAAGCAAAATGCGACTCTCTCTTTCTTTCGTCAGGGCTATGGTGTAGGGGTTACTCCCTACTCTCTATTACTCTCTCTCTCTCTCTCTCTCTCCCTCTCTCTCTCGGGCATGAGGGCTTGTCACAGCCCCCGGGCATCATGCCCACCCGATATCTTATCGGGTGTAGGGGAGTGAGAAACGAGTGTAGATCATCATGTGGCTCTTGCCATAAAGTATAAGGTGACGCATCTAGATGGTCGTAGACTCTAGACTCAAAGTACACATGCAGAAGTCAGGACTTCCCCGCTTTCAAGAAAAGAATGGTTCATAACATACAGAAGACATAGGAAGTAACGGTGGAAGAAGCCTGACTCTTGGTTTCCCCCGCTCGTGTGTCACACATCTGCGAATTATGCCAGTGCGGATTAGATCTGCTTCGTGAGGAAGCACAGCATATCCCCCGGGACGCAGGTTTGATAGTGTTAAAGCAAGTACACAGTACTCTCTCTCTCTCTCTCTCTCTCTCTCTCCTATCTTTCATTCTTTCGTTAGGTCTTCCTGCATCGTCTTTCTTTCTTTAGTTCTTTCTTTCTTGAGAAACACGGAAATCGAAAGAAACCCTGAGCCCTGGACTGTCGAGTCACAGTTGTCGGACTGATTGGTTAAGATGGAAACCTATCCTCGCACTAGAGCTGTGGCAGAGAGCAAACCAAACGCCAACTTGCTCCCCAAATTTAAATCTGTCGTCGTCTATGTGGGTCTGTGGATGCATGCCAACTGCAAGAAGCTCTTGCACATGCTCTGCACGTAGGTGGGTGCGACTATGCGTCCGATTAGTGTGCATGCGTGCTTGAATCGTGCATCTAAGATGCCCAGCAGGCCAGATGCCGAAAGCGATGAAGCCTCCACCACCCTCTTGCGCAGATCAACAAGCAGCAATACATTGTACTGCGGAAGTAATGGGGCCGGCCGGCTCACCGAAACCTTGTCTGAGCTGACGTTCAAAGCTGATTCATTCGAATCGATGCGAGAGTTTCGCTGGGCCAGGGAGGTCTGATCGGTGAAGTCTCGGAGGCCGATCAAGTGGCTGGTCCTGCCATTCTGTTGATATCTCACGTGGAAAACCTCAGTCCGGAACTTGCTGTTGTAGGCATCAACCAAGCGCGTGTGGAAGGCCGATGCTGCTGAAAGGCTTGACACCCCGAGCAGTTCTTTCTGTGCTTTGGCTGCTTCCTCTGGTGTCGCGACGAAGTCTCTAAATCGCATGCCCTGGAGGCTCCGCCTGGCTGGACTGGCATCCCGCAGCAAGATTGCGGCGAGCTCAGGCGAGTGGTGTGAGAGCCGGAGAGACTCGTCCAGCTCAACCACAGCGTCGCAGATGAGCTGCAGCAGTGCCCGTGCAGCTTGGAGATCACTGCTCATCTTGCTTAGACTGACACTTCGCTCTGCTGATCGCTTAAGGCACACCCGCATTGCAATCGCAGAGATGACAGCGGCCACGGCACTGACCATCTCCAAGCCAATTCGTGCGGAAGGCGAGAATACGGCAGCCAGCACGACAATGGCTACGTTGCAGAGAGCCACCAATCGAATGTTCTTAGTCAGGCAAACGGCAGGGATGCGGACGAGCCCTGTAATCTGTAGCGAGGTTTGTGGAGATGGCCATGCATTTTCATCCTCAGGGACTTCAGAAAGACAGAGGACAAATGGACCCGCAATGAACACTCATGCATCCCCAGTTGTGAAGGCTCCCAAACGACAGTACTGCTATGCCTCTAATTATTTATATATATTTATTTATTTATTTATTCATTTATGTATTTTTCCTGTCCGAAACAATTCCATCGTGCCTCCGGATTTGCGGCCTGGTAAATAATGGCAGTGCCTCCGATCGCCATCAGAAAAGCGTACCAGAAGTTGTGAGTGCAGGGTCTGCGCAAGCTGGGCACAAGAACATAGCTTGATGAGGTCGCGAAGAAAGTCAGTACCAGCCACCGCCAGGCTTCGGATCCGAACTGAGGGGATTTCATCCTCGCTTGTGGTTTCAAGCCTCTTGTGTTTGGTTGCATTTTGCGTAGAAGCTAATTACTCACAAGGTCCTCGCCTGCGGGATGTACACAGGAACAACAACAAAACTAGATGTCCCACAAGCCAAGGATCATCGACCTTTGAATCACAAGCAGTATCAGCAGCATCGAACCCGTCACCATACTGAAGTAGACCTCATCTTGCCGTTAGGTGCTTCGACGGAATGTCTTCGAGATCTGCAGCGGGTCGAAACCAGCTGATGCACCGCAAGACTGAGGCACATGTTGACCCTGACTGAAGCCGCAAAACCACGAGTAATCTGAGACCGCTACATGAGCCAGGGCGATCCGCTTGGCTTTTGTCTCCGCCTCGACAAGCCACTCATCCTCCTAGGAAATGGATGGGGCCAGTCTGCAAGATATCACGGATGGCGCAATTCAGCGAGTAGGACTGCTTAGGTCGTGATTTGCAGCAGCTTCTGGAAAAGATTGTGTAACTCAAAAGATCCTTCTATCACTGCTTCTCGCTTGTAGCTAGTTGCCGAATATATCCGCGATGAATCAGACATAATTTCGGCACGAACCTGTCAAACTCCCAGGTCTAGTCTGAGGTCCTGCACCTGCGAGCTGCGAGCCTGAAAACACCGCATTCTCTCGACGTTCTTGCGGATAGCCTGCATGGGAAGCCCTTGCTTTTTCTCTTGACTTCCGCTGGATGGACGTAAGCTTCATCCATCCTGGTCCTCTCTGCCCTCGGTCCTCCCTCAAGTCTATGCAAGCCTTGAGCGTCATGTGCATCCGGCATGTCGTGCATCTGGGTAACCCAGATGCCAAACAAGGGCTATATATGGCCCCATACAGGAGCAGGACATCACGCGTACCGATTTAATTTACAGCAACCAGATCCGTAGCTCAAAGATTGTGGCGCTTCGAACTACTCTGTGGTCGTAGTCTGCTTGAACTCGCCGACTTGATGATGTCCCGGCTGAGATTTTGAGTGTTGGTAACATGCTCTTTTGTCACAAGTCAGAGATGCTAAGACCGCTAAGCAGTATTTTGGAGAAAGAGGTTGTTCGCCTCAGAAACGCATGCGCATCCTGTCGAGCACATCAATAGCAAGAACGCCTTGAAGGAATAGGAACCTAAGACCTAAGATGAACACGCACCCCCCTTTCACCCTGAGGCTTAGCCTTAGATCCTCAAGCCGAAGACCGCAAGCCTGAACCGCCAGCTCCTGAACCCCGAAGCCCTGAGTCGCTGAATCTGCATGGAGGGTTTAGGGATTAGGGCAAAATACAACAAGAACTAAAGAAAATGCAGACAGACGAAGAAGAGGATGCAAGACTGCTTCACCAAGCTCAAGCGGTTAGGGTTTTAGGAGATAGGGTTTCGGGTTTAGGGCTCCGATTCCGGAGCTCAAGGGCAACATGAAGCACCGTGACATGATGAAGGAGATCATGAACCCAAGTACTGGGCTGTAGAATTCGACAAGTCCACATCGCATCTCTGAACAGTCTCAAGTATCAACAAGTGTTAACAGCATCCATCCTGGAGCTTACGGTCTTGGCTAGGCCCTGCAACGAACTTGTTCCAATCTCACTTGCACGACCACGCTACCCATGCTTCACCTGCAAGATCTCGCTGCGGTGTGCAACTGCCATGCACAAGAGCTTGAGGACGAGCATTAGTTGCCTGGGATGTTGCTGCGCATCCGAATTGCATGGAGGTTTGCTCGTAGAGAGATGGTGAAGAGATCGCGTCTGCGAGAACGCAATCTCAAAAGTTACTCAGCTGAATCTGGGCGATCGGAATTCTGCAGGCAAGCCGCAAAGCAACACAAGTCCAAGCAAAGGCGGTGTCTCGAGACTCCATGATCGAGGCAGCTTTCCAAGCCTAAGAGAAAGCTGTAGACTCCTGCCGGGCAGAAGTACCCTGCACCTCCTCGCAGAAAGTCTTTTGAGCCAAAGCTTTGAAGAACATGCGACTCCACAACGGTATTCTGTCATGCCCCCGGCTTGGCGGTTGCATGGTTCGGACGATAGGATAGACCGAGGTGTGTGTAGCCCACCAGTTATGCCTTTGCTGACTAAACCTGAGCCCTGGTCGCGACAGCCCAAACCGAGGCCTCCTTCATCTGTCCACCGCAACGGATCAGCAAGCGCTTGATGTCTTCGTGCCAGTCCTATGTCAAGCAGCACAAGCTCCAGATGAAGCAAACGGTGCAGCATTGCGTAAATCTTGGTGCACCCTGCCGAAGCTTAAGGCTCAAAGCTGAGAGCGGCCACGGCTGCATGTCCCCGCTTCGCCAGACGGGCAGTTGCACAACTTGCACCGCTGTCCCAACTGGGGCCGTCACATTCATGCCGTAGCTCTTCGTGATTTCGATCTGGAAGGTCTCCTCTTGATGCGCCCAGGTCAAAGCAGTGACCAATTCTGTCCCTGAACTTTGGAACCTTCAAGTCTGCATGCCATAAGAGGAAAATACATTTCTCTCCAAACAACATGTATTGATGACGGAAGTGTGCTGTTCGTCGTGTTTAAGCACCAAGAATCTACTACTGGACGACGGTTCCGCGAGCGAGTCAGCAGATTTAGACCTGAACCTGTCATTTCACACGATCACGCTTTGTTTTCCAATCCCACCGGCTGTCCCAACCCTGGCAATGCGCTCCTGCTCGGCAACGAAAGCAGCAAGCGTCGCCAAGCTTTTTCTGCCACTGCCTCCGACGCCCACCTGGCAATTCGTTGTATGCGCGGAACGGTTTTGAAATGTGGCGAGGCGATGTACCGCCAATCAAACATGCTCATTTTCAAGGCCTACCAGCGCTGTGAATTTCATGGACATTCTCATGTGGGTCCCATGGAGGCTGCCCGGCTGCGACGTGCATCCCGGAGCTAGCAGCCATCGCCTAGTCAAATAGTCGAAACCGCTTGCCCTCGGCATCCCACCACCTCGAGCATGCTACAAGTCGTAGACAGGACAGGCCAGCATCACCAGCAACGCATTTCCCAGTGGCGTCTTCAGAACACGCACCTTGCTCAGCCGAGCCCTCCTAAGCCTTCCAAGCACTTTCATTTCGAATATGACACGAGCAGTAGAGGTTGCTGAAGCTTACGTTGGACGTGACGTCCCGGCAGCTGAACCCTAAGTGTCGATATGCAGCTTCTAGTTCCTCTCGATGTGGCAACTACTTACTTCATGTTGAGCAAGCATTCGGGAAGTAGGCTTCCATGACCGTTTTCACAAGTGCACGGCTGCTGGAGAACGAGGCTTGGAAAACACGATGTGCCTTCTCTCAGGGAAGTGGGAAGACGGAGGAGGTGACTGGATCGGGGCCCGATCTAGTCCGAACGTTCTGAGCCCAGGCCTGAAATCTGAACCTTCAAATACTGACAAGGGACGTCTGAAGCAGAGGCATGCGGGAATCCGTGCGAAGCATACTCAAGTGCATTTTGGATGTCGAGCAGTCATGCAGGCTTGCAGCCAACCACACTAAGTTACGCATGCTTCGGGCGATTGATGGCCGTCCTTACCAGCACAAAAGCACGAATGAACGAGGTCTTGGCCACTTGGCTGACATGCCTGAGACAGAGGCATTGGCACACATCACAACCGAGGCACTCTGAAGCAAAGCGATCACTTCAGCCAACACATGTGCAGCTGCAGGAGAGCCCAGAGCCGAAACTGCCGGCGAGGTGCTGGGCCGCCGCCATGAAGAGGACCAACTCCATGCCTCGCTTGGCCTAAGGCGCTGTGCGGTGCTGGCAGCTGCGTAGCTGCTGGTATCAGAACCAGACAAATCATATCATCATCTTCTCGTATGCTCGGCGGGCGAATGCTGTTGCTTCAAGCTTCTGACGTTTTTAGAACTGGCGTGAAACCTTCACACCGCAGGTCTCGGGCCATTGAGTTGTACTCCATCAGGAAATTGTCAAGCACCTGCGCAGAACTCCGCGACGGACTCCACAATTGGGGGGCGGGGTTGACGCTTCGTTCGATCGCCTCCTACATCCTCCTACCATGACAATCCCCCGCGATGCCTCCGTGTAGAAATGCAACAGTTCACTTCGAATTCAAGCTGCGACAGATGCACAGGCCCCTACGCCAATTGGGATGAGACGTTTAACTCCAAACCACATTACACGGAGAAAAACGGTGAAGAGAGACTGAAGAAGCTCAGTGTATGAGTTTTGATGCATGACAGTTGGTTGATTCATCCGGACTCGTCGGCAAGAGCTTTGCCTTGCCCCTAATATTAGGCACTGCCCTGAAGCGGGTGTGTGGGCGTCTTTGTTTGTTGCAGAACATTTGGGCCACTCCAGGCCTTCAACATCACCTTGAACTCTTGGGAGGGCGGGCATTCAAGTATGCCTGTGAACCGCTGCAGGAGATACCTGTTCGCAGCCCGCGATAAAAAAAAGAACTTGCGGCACGCAATACACAAACGAACCTTTGCATTCATCACCTTCCACATCCCTCCACCTGGAAAGCCTGGAACCTGAGCATCAGGATCCTTCGTTTCTTGGGGCTCACAGATCCCCGAGCGGCAATCTTCTTTTAATCTTCTTTTGCGCAATCCTTGCGACGGAGCGCCTGGACAAGCTGATCAGGTTCCTCGACTTGCTGGTAGTGGCTTGCCTGGCTCACTTCAGCGCTCAGCTTGCAGGCTCTCGGGAAAACCCCAGCTGCAAGGTCCCTGCGCGACTGGACAGTTGATCGAGTTCAATGCAATGATGTCAAGATGCTGCGTAGTGATGATGTCATTTTGCTCACCGTGGTCCCAAACGGAGGGAGGTCCTGAATAGTCCTGTCTGCCTCAGGGCCCCAGCTCTAGACCGCAGCCAACCCTCGGACCCTGGGCCCCTCCAACGATTCGACAAGCGGAAACATGCATCTGGATAACATCCGTCTTCCTCTGTGGAGCGTCGGACAGAACCTAAGATATAAGAAGTTCTCGAGAACCGCAACCTGCGAAGCAAACATTTACAAGTCGAGGAAAGCATCCCAAAGTTTGCCCTCGAACACCCCCCTCGGCCACCAACACCCCATGCCCAGCGGCATGCAATGACATACATGATGGTTCTGCTGTTCTGCTCGAGGTCCCCGCCCTGGGGTCGATGAAGTCACACCAGATCAAAGGCTCGACCTGCGAGGCTTGAGATGATTCCCGCAGATGGATGCACCTACATGGCCCGATTGTCTGGGACAGCAGAGCATACAAGGCTTGAGCACAGATGTCTAGTTATTACACCACGCCATCCTCACCCTTGCATGCTCCAGCCTTGACTAAGCTCTTCCAATCCTTCTTGAAGTTTTCCTGTCCACGGCACACTTTCTCGCACTCCAAGGGTCAAAATCCCAGTCGAATCAGTTTACAGCTAAGTGATTCCGCACTCGTGAAATACGCGTTAGCGACATGCTACTGAAACGCCGGTGACCGACACATGACTCTCCAGCCACTCCTTTAGAATCTCGCTCATCTTCTCCCGGAACCATGTCCTCAAGAGGCCACCCCGTGCCAAGGTGCACAGATATCAGTCAGCCGATGGCAGACAATTGGGAACTGCACACCGCAGAGCACTTACGTGGCCACGGTGCGCAGGCTTGAGCCTGCATACGCAGCCACACTCAGTTACCCGAAAATCCTGTTGCAAACTGTATGCTAAATGAGTCAGCTCCTGAGCATCGTCGAGTCTCTCTCTCCAAATTAAAGTCTACTGATATCTTCCCTCTATAAATCTTAGAGTGAAGCTCCGGGAGAACCATCCCTTCAACGACGACTAACAAAAAATGGGTCCATCTACGACCCTGCGACCCAGCGGCTGATCGTCTTTCGTGACGAGACGATCATAAAACACGCGGTGGGCTTCATGCGCCCAACACCTGGCAAGCCGACGTTGCAACGTGTTCGACGGACGTGCAGGACTCCGATCCGATCTCCGCTTCTCAGGTGATGCTTTGGACAAAGAGGGAGCTGATGATGGTTCGCTTCGGAAGTGCTGTGGGCATTGTTCTTGGCTCTTTTGCAGAACCTCGCGAGGTCATCGGCCGACTCCATGGACTTCTTCTGGCATCGGCAAATTCCGAGGTGGACCTGGCCAGGGCCAGGCCGCGGCAGAAACGTTTAGGAAGGCCACAAACCTTGCGAAAGGTTGGGGTTCCGGTGATGCGGGAGAGAAACAGCTGCATCCGAGATGTATGGGGTCGAGTTACAGGCTTGCGCATGCCCTGTCCACTCGCACCAAGACCCACCTTCGCCAGATCGCGGAGGTTGAACGTGTAATGGCCTAAGCATCATGTCAGGCGTGTGTGGCTGCGATGCAGGCAGGCGCGTGCGGTGGGATCTGCAAGGGTTGATCAACTTCCGATTGGACTTCTTCGCAGATGCTGCTTCCACTCTGGTCACGAACACCGTATTCAGGCGCGGCCGCTGAGGCCCGATCTCTTTGCCGGGGTGGGCAGCATCGCCGCAGACATGTCCTGCCGGAGACAGTCGCGAATGTGTCGTACGTGCAAACTGCAAACTACAACTGGCCGCACTCTATGAACGAATTAGCTGCGGGATCTTCGAAAGTGTCCCTGTCCAATGCAGACGAAAAACCAGATCATGCTAGCCTGTGGCCGGAGATTCTTCGATTCGAGCACGCGGGTTCTTCGACAACGCCAAGACGTGTATTGTAAGCGGCCCCTAAACCCTAAGCCATCTGCATCTCCTCATCATAAATTATGACGAGGAGAAGCACAGGGCACTCAGGATTCGGCGCAACTACGTAGTGTGGCTTTCAGCCCGAGATTGCCAAGAACCAAGAGCTCCGGCCACGGAATGATCTCGGGAGGTCTGTTCAATTTCTGCAGCTGTCCTCGTAAAGCTGTATTGTGGATCTCACCACCTTGGCAGAGGTTGTCTCACGCATCATCCTCCTAATCTCTTCTCACAAAACTGCATTCAAACACCTTCTCAATCTCTGACTTGACAGTGCTTTGGGGCGATTCTCGCCTTCTGGAAGCATTCGCTCAGCAACAGATTCCCTAGCATGGGGCTCGATGCCTCTCATGTGACACTGCTTTAGGGACGATTCCTCACAACGAGGGCCCTGGCTGCGTTCGCCACACCGGCCACAGCCCCAGGAAATCGGCCCAAGAACCACTGCATGATGGTCTGGAAAATCCTTTCGAATCAGAAGTGGCATAGTCTTCCTCGCATTTCTTGGGGATCATACCACTCAGGACTGCCCTGGCTCTAGGCTCACCCACTACTACTGCACACCATGCCTTTTGGAACGAGGTGTCTGAAGTGCCTCCAAGTTGCCTGCCTCATCCCTACACACCATCCCTGGACCCAAAACGGCAGTGCGGGGCTCCTTTGAAGGCTCTCTTGTTCGAACGGAGTGACCTTGGCAAACGGATCGTCAAGGTGCTTTGATCTGATAGGCTGGGGTTTTCTTCGACTTGGCTGTGCTGTGCCGGATTTCAGCCTGGGGTCATTCTTGGCACGGGAGATTGAATGTTGCATCAAAGGCCTGTCTCGGCCCAGCCTTTGAGCTGTCAGTGTGTTTGGCACTTGGAACCCGGAAGCCACTTCAAGCCTAAAGAACTCGTACCGATCTGTATGAGTTCAGCTCTGCTTCAGCTGGAGTTGGGATTTCTCGGGCAGGGTTGCACGACGAGTTGGAATCCTGCAGAGGTCACCCCGTGCAAAGACCTCCAGCCTGAGCCGCAACGACCCGACCCTAGCTCAGCTCTGCGCGAAGACGAGGTTGAAGTGCCGCTGAAATCGGCCTGTCAAGAAAGGCCTGGCGGCGTGGACTTGCAGGGAAGCCTCCTGCTTTGCACATGCGTCATCATGTGTCTCTTCACTGACCCCGACACCCTGGTTGGGGCCATACTGCTGGAAGTCCGAAGAAACACGCCTTCGATCAACACCAACGGCACGGTGGCAAGTGTAAGCATAGACCTACAGTCCTACAGATACAGTATGCGAGAGAGAGAGAGTGGAACTGTGCCAACATTCTACAACGTATGCTTCTACTCAACAAACATCGACACAATTACACCGATCACGCCATCAAGGCTCGATCGTTCACTGTCCTTTTTTTTTCCCCTCCTACCTTCACTGTCCTTCAGGGCACAAGGTTTGCAAACGTCAGTGGGTGCGCCCTGGGTGAAGATCTGCTTTGCGGGCACATGTCCCATCGCAATCCCGTAGAACACTACTCCTTACTTACACGTGAAGTGCCAGACCAGCAAAACTCAACCGCCCAGCATTGAACCGCAAGGCAGCACGCGACAAAGTGCTCAAACTCTTGGTTCTGCATGCCGGCTGTTCTTCAGAATCATCAAACACCCGGGGCCATATCTTCCGAGTCCCAGACCGTCCAGCACCCGGCGGGCCCATTGCGCCGATGAAAATCCTTGAGCTCACAATGCATGCCATGCTCACAGCTCAACCTTCGGACTCCAAGGCTGCGCATTCTGCGCACTTCTCTCTGCGATTTGGCACCTGGCCCGCCTGCATGGTCCCTCAATCCGGGGTCTACGTGAGCTTAGTTCGTCAGCTTGCGCTCTGCAGCTCTAGACACCAGGAGCCGGTGCCGCTGACAGCCCTGACTGGAAACATGCGGAGAGCCTTCCGGGATCGCTATCTCAGGCTTGGCTTGCTTGTCTGCTGAGTGGACTAGGAGTTCCAGGAGAGAAGCCGAGAGAAAAAGCTCCGAGTTCTACACACGAAGGGCTTCGGTGAGCCTTGGTGGCCTTCCGGCTTTCCTGTTACCAAAGCCGAGCTCGCAGGACTGTTCTCAAGTCATACAACTCCCTGAACACGAATACAGGGCCCTGACAGGTCCACCAGGTTTCGGAACTCTGCGGTCTTTCTCTCCTGGGCATCGTCTTGTTCGATGGTGGGCGTTTCGGCTACTGGTGCCTGTAGGTTGGCCACAATGCCTGGGAGTTTCAGATACTTGCGTTGGAAAGTCGGACGTGCTCATGCGTTTCGGCCTTGCGACAAAAAGCGAACCGGACAAGCCGAAGTTTACAGTTCCTAGAAACATGCTGCAGTTCGTGTCCGAACAGCAACAGTGTCTTTGACTGGAGGAGGGGGTGCAGCAGGCTTTCTCAGCCTTCAGTAAAGGTCTCTGATTTGAGATCTGCGACGAATGGTTCGTCCTCGAGTCTGAGGCCAGCGCATACCAGCCTTGAGTGTCCTGGGCTCATGGGCTTCAGTGTTCAGTCGAAGTCCCTAGGTTTTAGATGCCGGTGGGGGTCTGTAGCTCTTTTAGGAAAAGTCTCTAATGCAGCGTGGTGCCAGTTGCTACGACTGGTTGGAGGCGCTGCGAACATGCGCTTCGGCTTCAACTGAAACTCTAAGAGGTCTTGCTTGGAACGAGAAGCACATGCCCTTCGTCTCGTTCTTGGCGCTGTTATTGCATGCCAACCCCTTTGGAGGTTACGGGGCAACGATGATTAGCTGCTCCCGTTTCCGAGGCCGGGGCCATCCACTGGCGGAGCAGCTCAATCGGTGGCTGAGCACCATACTTCTCCTGGGGCACATTGACATGAAGTTCAAAGCTTCGGGCTTTTTGTTCCCGGCTTATGATTCATGGGGGCTTTGGATTCCAGGCTCCAGGCAAGCACAAAAAGCTCAGCTCCGGATCTTGCGGAAGCAGCGTATGTCTGTGGTTGTGGAGATGGGCTTTCTCGTTGTCGGGGGGGAGGTGTCGTACAACCAATGCAGCATCACGGACGACTTGATTCGGAAACATGTCCACCGTATCTCTGATTCTGAATTTTGACAGGTCGCGTGCTGTAATTTTGGAGCTGCATTCGAGCGGCCGGAAGCTCGATCATGGAGCAAAAAGTCACGGTCTTGAGCTACCTTCCCCGAACATAAATCCAAAACGGCCAACTCCGCAAAACCTTGGCAGGCATGTTCAGATCATCGATGAAAAGCAAGCACCTTGGCCGATCAGGAAATGGCAAGCGCAGTAGGTGCTACGCCTTCATGGTAGCCAGGCAGTTTTCGGGAACTTGCTGTTGGAAGACTTGTAAGCATGCAAAACACCAGCAAGGTGATGTTCCCACAGATGCTGCGGCTGCTGCAGGAAAGCATATACAAGTCGAGTCTGTGGATGTCAGAGTGTTCCAGCATGCCACATTTCCAGAAAAGCTGTGCTGGGCAAACATGCCGGAGCATCGTGGTCCGGTATGTTGCTTGTCTGGCTGTTCTCTATCCGACTCTATCCCATACTGGAGTCGTTCTGAAATTCCCGAAGCACGTACTGGAGCTTTGATAGCAGCCAACATGTAGAAGATGTGACAGCAAGAAAGCAGGGTCGCAAATGACGCACCTGTCCAGACAGCATTTCGCGGATTCCTCTATCCATGTTGCTGGTGACGTAAAGGTGCTGAGCGCAACACTTCTTGCCAAAAGGAGGTCCATAGGTGCCCTTCTTTCGCTTGTCAAGCTTGCCATCAATGATGTCCTGTTGCTGCGCCGGACGCGAAACTTTCTCAAGAGTGCCATGTACATCATGTCGGTACAGTCGAAAGCCAATGCTGCGGCAACCACCTTTCGAATGCCTGTAACAGCACAGGGAATACCCAAGTGAACGCAAGAAGGCAGCACATGTCAGTATCATTGGCGCTTGCCCGGCTCCCAATTCCTGCGTCTGGTTCGCATTGGTCTGCGCGCTGAACGCAAACGAGATCACCTCAGGTAGCAAATCCATGCTAGCAATAACTCGGACAGTCATGACTTTGCGCAAGTCACAGCTCTGCAAGGCCACTCGAGCACAAACGCAGAGCCACTGAAGAAGTGGGCAAAGGCTTGGAATCACTGGATCTATCTGAGGTTCAGGCCGTGTACTTGTCTTTGTCAAATCCTGAGTACGGCGCTTCTTGGGGTTCCGGATTGGGCAGCACCTTGATCTCATCCGTGCAGCCTACATCACACACATCCTCACAGCTGCCAGACAAGGTACGCTTTAGCAGCTCTTGTTGAATCACCACCTGGCATGGATGATCACCCATTTCGGCTCACACTCGGACAAATGATCACCCATTTAGGGTCTACATCCTCTGCAGCATGGCTCATTGTGAGTGACCTGATGGCCTCAGGGCCTGAATTCCACACCAGATCACACATGTCTGGCCGGCAGTTTTGCCGGTGCCCGTCAAGCCGGAGTACAAGATGTGATACTCTGAAGCAACCTCGGCAGCGGTGGCGGCAAACTCTCCGGACCGACCATGCACTGCGTACCAGAGCAATGCGAATCACATCCTGAGTGCAGGGCATGGGACGCTTGTATGAGGCTTCGGTATGGGGGCTTCTTGATGGGTGTCGAATCTCTGCCCTGGTTCTGTGAGTAACGTGCCGAAGCACAGACAAAATTTACAAACATCGGCAGGCTGCACTCTTGTAAATCCTGAAGAGCCGACACCCTATATGGCTTTGCGTCGGATCCCTTTCCCCAACACCTGGATTCGAAGCCGGAGTGATCACTGCCTGGGTCTCTTGCCAAGGACTGCAGAAGGAAGGCACTCCGCACGGTGTCTGCAGTCGGAACCATCACTTGGTGTGCCTGAAGTTCGGCCCGCCGTGAAGCAATCGAAAGAACAGCCAAATCATGGTTCCATGATTCAGTGGAACAATGGTAGCGGGGTGAGTTTTTCCATCAATGTTTGTCTTCTCATCCACCTTGCAATCACCATCTTCGCATACAGCATAGCATAGTGCAAACAGAAGACAAGCGCATCAGTAGAGCGAGCACCATGCCGATTGAACTTGCACTGCTGTTGCACGGAAAGGGTCGAGAAGACAATGACATCCAACGGGGCTGAAGCATCTTGTGCTACTGAAGGCAACAAGTCTTGTATCATCTTGTTAAACTACTCATTCGTCACAGTCACGTTAGGGATGGCCGCCCAGGGCTGGAGGCAACATACGCGCACAGGATTTGAGGAGGATTTGGGGCTGATGCCTTCGGGTGCCCGGGATTCCGGACTTATATCAACAAAGCACAAACATCACCTCTGCGCAATTGAAACCTGCTTCGCCAGAAACACACACCCAACAACCACTCACCGGGTGTCCGGCCAAGGCTTCTTTTGGAATGTCGAAGCCAGTAATCCTTGTGTCGAGCTGGAACAGGCGCAGACAGTGAGTAGGGTCTCATTGCCACCGATTTTCGGGGCTGAAGGGCAAGGACAGAGTTTCTGTCACTGACGAGCGATCATGAAATCGTCGAGGAAGAGCGATGCCAGGAAGTGCAGGACACAAAACATGCTCAAGGCATCCCTGCTCCAATCTCTTGCTTACCCCCTTGCAACCCAAACCAGATTCCAAGGTATCTCGACGCGATTTGGCTATGAATTTTCATGGGTGCGGGTTAGCCAGCAAATCGAAAACACGTTTGCTGCCAAGGATCTTCTTTGTCCAGTTCTCCCACTTGTTGGACCTGATGCAAGCAAGATACACTGAGAACCCTGTTAGCGCAGGTAATCGGGGTGTGCGCTCTGTTTCAGGGTGCTGCTTCGAAGATCGTGTTGGATGTCGTTACCAGGGCAACCGGATCGAACCAGCAACGAACCTCAGTCTAGGAACCTCCTCCTGTGCTTCAGATCTGACTTTGGGCCAAAGTTTCTTGCATCAGGCATCTTTTTCTTGCTGGCCGACTACGAAATTCACATCAAGAACATGCTTCTGATCTCCTGTAGGTCAATACCCCAATCGATCAGACAAAGCTCCAAGCCCGGTCGTCCTCAGCACGGGCATGAGTACAGCAATTTACTGACCACCGTTGCGAGTCTGCTCGCAACGAATGCCACCGTGAGTGCAAAGAAGTCCAGATAGAATGACCAACATATTTTGAAATGGAACTACCTCATGCCTAACCAAGCCACCTTGCTCCATCTGAGGTGGCGGCTGAGCGAAGGCGAAATACTCGTACACGGTGTCTTTCTCTGGGAAGGGCGTCTTTGTCACCGGCCTGCATGCCAATCATCAAGTGTAGCCATAATGTCAAGGAGCAGCTTTCCTCCGCCGTTCATCCGGTTTCAGGAGGTCCGCATGATTGACCTGACTTCTCGCTTCTCTTCGTGAGCGCATTGCACTTCTCGGTTCACCAAAGGAGTATGGCTAGAACAAAAGCTCCGGCTTGGACTTCTGAACTTTGAGCTGCCAGAACCTCCGCACATTTCCGTGGGCACATGACAGGTGTGAGGAGGGCCTCATGGTGGGGTCGTCAGCGATGAGGTCAAACTCTTCCTGCGGGCGCTGACGCTACAAGCACGCTCGCCCCACCATAACACGTACAGATTAAGGCATTGGGTCAATGATTCGTGGCATGTTGCGTCCGCTATGCAAAGTTTGATGTGAAATGACAACTCCAAGCAAATCATAAAGCCAGCGGGCATAGAGAACCAGAACCCACAAAACTAGGCAACAATCTGTGTGTGGGTGTGCCCAAGAGAGACTGTGTCTGTGTGCGCGCGCGTGGCTGTGCGTGTGTGATTGTGTATGTGCGTGTAGTAGCGGGGTCCACCAGGGCCCAACCCTATAGAGGGCGGAACCCTATCCCAACGGATCATTCACAAATTACTCTGCCATTCCTAGTGTCTGGCACGCTTACGTATCAAACAAACTTCTTTATTTTCATATGTCATGGCTTAGCTTCTAAGCTGTCGCATCGCCGTTAGCGACCGAGCTGCGGAACCGGACACCTCGGTAAATCCAAAAGCGGAGAGCAAGCAAGGACAACCGCTGTGAATCAGCACCGGACCTGACCAAGGTACGATGAGCAGGAACCCTTTTACACTCTCACATCTCGGACAAGCCAGGCGAGGTTCTTGGTGCGAAGTCGGCGTGATACAAGACTCTTTTAGGATTTGGGTGTTCGCAAGATGAATATTGACAGGCGAGGGAACCGACCTTGACGGGCATGCCCTGCTGGATCGAGCGGATGAACCTCGGCAAAGCTGCTACCAGTATTACCCAACTCCATTACCCTGAACTGCTGTGGAACAGAGTTCCTCGCCTATGCTCAAAAGAAGCAGGAAGAAAGGCCACATCCAAGCCATCCCAAGCTCCCAAACTGGGGACTTGCCGGGCGCTTGGGAGCCCCGACGAGTTCATGATCTTCCTCCCTGCGCTGTCCGTCGTAGCACCGAAGCTCCAGACCAAAGCAAGCCAGAACCTGAAGCTTGGGGGGGGGGCTCTTTCGGCGCTCACTCTCGCCTCTCCTGCCAGGATGGCGCCTAGTCGGCTGGAAGTGCAACCTAGCCTTGAGTCAAGGTTGCTCAGCCTAAATGTCTGCACTTGCTTTTGTGAGGGATGATAAGGCGTCTCATGCAGTCTTTGGGGGCCTCGATTCTTACTCTCAGATTAGGAAATTCCATCTTCAGGGGTTGCAACGGTTAAGGCTTCTTCTCGAAAGTCGTTTCCAAACAGCAAAAGACGGGCACAGAGTTCATGTTTCAGTTTCAGAAACGCTCTGAGGTACAGGCATGTTCTCAACCTTGACCTCCTTCTCTTTCATCGGGAGGTCCTGAAATCAGAGCATGGGCTCGACCAAGCTATCTCTTCGCGTTTCGTCCAGAACCCAAGCTCCATCATCGCAGCAAAACGTTTCGCTTCACGCCACCTTTCCAGAGGATTGAAACTCGACACTGACAGTCAAAACCCTAAAGCTTCTGATCTGAGCTGCAGCACTCGATATGACCGACATTTCCTGTCCACATTCGCGGTCTAATGTCCTGCTTGTCTTTCTCGGGGTCGAGTGGAAGCTCGCATCTCAGCAACGCCTCAGGCCGAAGTCGTCTCTGTGACCGAGGCGTCACGCGCATGTGCTTGTGTGCCCTAGCTCAGGTTCTAGCAGCCCTATAGCCACACCATCATGTCCAGAGCTGGAAAACTTGGCTGTTGCACAGTCTCAACAACATCATAGTCTTTGTAAGTGCAGCACCATCAGCAGTTTGAGCAGGCTGCAGACCAGCCAGTTCTGCGTGACGGGCACTGGCGTCTTGATCTGCACAGTTGTGCTGATCTCCGCTGTGTCGCGCTCCGTTCTGGGGTCATGCTCCCCGATCAGGACATGCTAGGCAACCCCATGACAATCACACCCTCTTGCAACAATGCCATGCGAAACACGCAATGCCAAAATCCAAGATAGGAGCTGCAATACTTCTGCAGACAACATCTGCCAAAACTGAGCGGCTTGAACCGCGCAAACTACAAAACCGACATAAACCCATGGCCAGGCTGCAAGTGAGAGGTGGCATGACTATATCTGCACACCCTACTGTATCAGAAGTGATTGTTATTCATTGTGGAGCACATGCGAGCTGGGTTGTGCGGCCCATGGTTTGTGAGCTGGGCACCGGCGCATGAGGGGGCAATACACAAACTGCGAGTCAGTGCTGCAGACTCTAGATTGGCAAACTTCATTCCCAGCAAACGGAAATCCAACCATTCAGCGAGCCTTGCGCTGGCACATCTCCCAGCACTGATCGATGTTTGCTTCAAACAGACCTTTCAACTGCTCGCCACAATCCTTGCCGAGAGGGGCTGACCATGCACCTATAGAACAAGAAGCTATGGAGGCACGCCAATGCCGACGCATACTTGAGCTTCGATGTCGGCTAACGGGGCTACAGGCTTCAAGCGTTCAAGCGCTTGCGGAGCAGATCCACGGCTCCGACAAGCACAAACTGTCCTGGAGTCGTTCTGGTGCCGTCTCGATCCTGCAGCATCAGTTGCGCCCTTCGTTGGTTCTTGGCTTCAGACGGCTCAGAGAACTTCCAACGCACTGCCTAAGACCGAACGTGTATGCAGATTCGCAGACAAGTTTTGAATTTCCGGTGTCTGCTGTGCGTTCTTCGTGGCTTGCGCTCCATGCAGACCCCGTCTATTCGCGCTAGACCCCGTCTATCGCGCTGTGCTGGTGTGGTTGAACTAGTTCATCGCATGACAGAGCAGACCTTGCTGCCTCAAATACCGCTGGGTCGCAGGCCATGATTGCATCAGCACGCGCCAGCCAATGTCCACCTGCGTGATGGAAACTAACGGCTAACACCGCTACGACTGAGGTGATATGTCTCATGTGATATGAAGGCGATAACTGACCGTTGCTGAGTTGCCCATCTCTTTTCTAGCTGATTCCAGCTTCTGGCCGCAAGTATCCGTCCAGGCCGGGCCCCTTTGCCAAGTCAATGCTGCCTGTGCTGAACGTTCGGCAACTGAATCACCTGCCGCCGCGGTATATCTCATCCCGATTGAATCTGGAACAGGCACGTTCCTCCGTGGCTCTCGCAGAGGTAGCCGCGTCTGGCGTGACGACGACGGTGCCACTCTGCTTTTCTGCTTGACTCGACCATGCAAACATTCTGCAAGATTAGCCTCCTTGGCTTGCGATGCGCCTGATATCTCACCAGATCGTCGGTCATCTCGACCTCAGCCTATACTTGAGCTCGGCTGTGCAAAATCCTCTGCCTTCATGTAAAGAACGGTACTTCTTGCATACCCGCCCTCGGGCTCAAATGCCAAATCAACAGTGCGCATGGAGGGGTGCTTCTGGCACAGGTACTCGATAAATTCCTTGGCCACAAGGACAAAAAGGGAACGTCTCTAAACCGCAACAGCTGTTTGGTGCTGCCCTTGCTCACTAAGTACACACTGACATGCCGCGTGCCTGGCTAAACAACGTTCAAGCGTAGAGTCACGAATTTTGACGCTCGTATTCGGACAGAGTTGGCGAAGCTTCGAGCACTTGAGTTAGAGGGCCGCTGGGCAGCTCCTTCTGCTGGATATGCTCGTTGGCAACACCAGACCATGCATTTTTGCAAGCGACAAGGAGAACCCATCCGTTAGGACCGACGATGACCCTTTCCATACAGTGAGAAACGGTGAGACAAAGACTATACTTAAGAGAATCTGACTCAGCAGTTGGAGCTCGGAGTCTAGAGGGGTAAGCTTTTGCCGACGGTCTCAGGAAGCGAGGCCAAGGGCTCGGAGAGCCGTCTCCTGGTGCTTCTGCGGCCGGAGCCCCGCGGAGAGCGTAGCCGATCAACTGTCTTCAGGAGTATTCCTTGCACGATGAGCTGCCCATGCTGCTTCTGCACGTTAAACTTCCACCTCGACTTGGTTACACCGCCGTTGCCTGGGCTGTTGATGTACGGTCTCGAAGAGTAGTTCAGTTTCCGAATACAGGCAGGGATATTGAACCAAGACGGAAAATCAACAGCATCCCCAAATGCCGCGTAGTTGCGCATTTTCATGTGCAGCTGCGTCCGGAAGTGTGCCGCCGGAGCTGGATTCTCCGGGTCTTCGCTCGCTACTTGTTTTCCAGCCTCACCAATGGTTTTCGCCAACCGCCTTCGGAAGTCAACGTTGAAATCCACCAAATCTGAGAACTTCGCCTCATCCGATATGTTGAGGCCTGTTGCATCCATGAAGTTCGCAGACACTCCCATGATGTCCAGCTCCGCAGCATCGAAGATGAGAAAGGCCTGCTCGGAGTCGTCCGGGTCCGGGTGGCCACTGGAATCGGAGGTTTCGCTGAGGCTCTTGTGGAACGTCGGAGAGCTCGGGGGAGCGGAGGCGGAGGAAACCATCTTGGCCTCAGTCTCTTCCCGAAGACCCACCAAATGTCGAATCTCTCCGTGGCCATCCACTGTCTTCACGTGGAAGCACTCCACGGGCACCGTGTTTCCGTAGCCATCGCGGAGAGCCAAATGCATTGCTTGCGCCAGGAAAGGTCGCTCGGCATCTGGCCGATTTACTCCTTCTATGAAGCGCTCCTTGTCGTCTGCAGTCGCAAGGCACTGCATGAAGTCTGTGCCAGCGTTGTTGTTGGCACGGAAGAGCATGGATGCGAGATTCGGTACATTTTTGACGAGTCGGAGCTGGGAATCTAAGAAAAGGTGTGCCTCACAGAAGGTTGCCAAGAGGGACTCACAAGCCCTGGCCTCGTTTTTTAACATCGCCGCCTCCAGGCTCTTCTCCACAATGGAAGACGTTGTGTTTTGGAGCCAACTGCTGGCTAGGCAGGAGAGCAAGGACAGGACGGTGTCAATAGCGAGGGAATTGTCAACGAAACGTATGTAAAACTCGGCCCGCTGTCGCCACACGGCAGATTGGCCACCTGGAATCATTTCCAGCATCCTCGCAGTGGAAACTCGCATGCACACGTGGCAGATCAAATTGCTGATAAGCACTAGCTCGACCGAATTAGTCAGTGGCAGGATGCTGCATCGCAGAAGCCAGGTCATCGAGATCGCAATGACGAGGTTTGCTGGTCCTATCATGCCTGGCAATACAGTACTGGCCAGAATCAACATTAACAAGAAGTAGGCAGAGTTCATCCATCGCCATGCCATCTTCCCGCACAGAATAAGTAGTAAAACAGCAAAAAGTAGAATCTCCCAGGCGAGCAAGATGGCATCACGATGGATCCGTTCAACAAGCGTTCCGTTGGCCAGCTGGTAGAGCCGATATGCCGCACTCAAGAGTAGTCCCAGAGCTGCCGCTGATTTCGCAATCTGCATCCGGTACTGATTCTGGAGCTCTTTGAGCTTGGAGTCTCCTTCCTGGCTCTTCCGGAAGCATAGGCACCTGCAGCAGCGCCAGAGCCACTTGGGCAACTTCCGAACCAACGCAAACCCGCCCGTGCTGGCCAGGACAAAAAGCACGACAGGAATCTGGGCAATTGTGAAAGCCAGGGTCCACTCGTAGGAAGTCCTTTCCTGCCCCAGAGCAGACTCCATCGCTTCAAACAGCTCGGACATAGCCATAGCGCGAGATACCCGAAAGCCTCCTAGACATGCTAATTTCTGGCCGAAAATCTGGACCTGCTGCTCTACTTACGGCTTCCGTGATCGAAGCGCAATCTCGGCATTCGGCATTGGCTGCAAAAACGGCCCAGTCCAATTGGAAACTTGAGTCCAACACAGAACCTGTCTTAGAGGTGAAACTGCCAAAGGTGTCGAGAAGCTGGGTAGGTCTTCACACGGTGGCCACGCAGCTGTCTCTGCGGGAACTCTTTCCTGGGCTGGGGCGCCAGGCAGTCAAGTCGGCTCACTACTCTCAGCATCAACTGCAGCTTTGATCTCTGCTTCGATCGTCCTGGCTCCTATCCTAAAGCAATCCGAGCAGAACTTACGACTGCAGCGAACCATGGGCCAATAGGCCATCGGAGTTGAGCAGGCTTCCCAGTTTCAACATGCCCCACCATGCAGAGAACAAACCACAAAAAGCTGCAACATACAGTACATAATTACTTCTTGCACAAAGTACTCGCACTTGAGAAAAGTGGCGGAAAGACACAGCACGGACATACTGCGAAGGAAATCCGCTGTTCGACCGCGAGGTCGACAGCAGGCTCTGTTGCCTGACGAATCGGAACCGGCTCCAAAACACAAGAACAAGAAGCCCTGTAAAATCCCTTCATGGTCGATGTGGATCGCGTTTCGCTGCAGTTTCACGTGCTTCGGCTAGCTCGCTCACGTTCGGCCTCGAAACTTCGGTAGTGAGTGACGCAGCGGTCAGCACGCCTCTTCTTCTTGGACTCACTGTTTCTCTCTCTCATGATGCGTTGCAAGAGCTTGAATCCTGGCGCCGAGACCCCTACATTAGGTGAGCCCAGGAATTCAAGCGACGTTCCTCAAGATCAAGATAAGCTGTGCATATTAAATGAACTTCGACCACATCCACCTGGTCGGGATGAAATCCAAGGATGAGGCTGCAAGACTTCAGCACCTCGGATCAGGAGTTCATTGCCCATGGTAGGAAAGACGTGGCGTGAAGAAACAAACAATGGCTGAGGATGTTGAACGTGCGCAAAGGTGCTCATTCGACGGTTTTCCCGTGACTTCCCAGTCTTGGAAAGCTGGGTTCCAGTCGATCCAGGCTTGCGCGCTAGAGGCCCGAACAAGCTCAATGAACCCCACTAAAGTCACTAAAGACCGCCCAGGCTCAGTCGCGGCCTCCGCAGAATCTTGGATGCGTTGGGCTCGCAAAACTCCTGCCCGCCCGCCACTCTGGCCGGTATTTCTGCTTGCTATTGGTTTTGAAATCTTCTATGTCCTGATCAGATGCTCCAGCTCTTTCTCTGCCACTCGCTCTACATGCTGACGTGCCAAAACCCGGAAGGCGCAACCACATGCCCAAGAAGTAGTAGTAATCGTCGTCGTCGTAGTAGGACTAGGACACAGTCTTCTGGTTTCATCATCGTTGGGGCATGCAGGCCTGCATGTGTTTGATATACCACGCTACAATATCAAGTGATGTAGCAATGCATAATATGCGGTTTAATGTTCTCCTTATACTAGTACGATATACTATCGTCCAACGCAACAAAGCTATGCCAATTACAGAATAATAAGCTACACTCGTGTGTCTGATCCTGTATTCTCATGGTTTAGAACAGAGTATAATTAAGCAATTGAATCCCAACCTAAACTGTTGTTATCAAAAGCAGATTGCTAAAGTTGCAGCGACTGCTGCATTTTGATTGGTACGTGCAGCTTTCCTGCTCTCATCATCGTTCCGCGAAAAAAGGACGAACAACACCTTGCATTGCTGGCATGCCTGATCCGGATAGCTAGACAACGCTCACCCTCTGGTTATGCAATCTGCGGGGCAGTCATAGTACTGAGCGTAAGCGGGGCTTTGGTTGGCTTGGCTCAGCTTGGCTTCAGCGAGGGTAGGAGGTAGCTTGCCCCCTCCCCCATTCACACCTACCAATGCAGGATTTGCCTAAACTGCGAAATAAAAAACAAACACCTGGAATGCACAGGCTTCCTGCCTGAATCATCTTTGCGGGTATGCAGCCTGCATGAGCTTATTTATCATGTTACAGCACAACACACACACACACACTATACAATTTCATGTTGCATACTGTGACTTACCATGACCATATGCTGTAGCTTGTGAAACAATACAGTTCAACATGAGGTGACAAAATCCAGCAGATTATACAATAACCCGATGCAGTACAGACTGCGTTACATCGTATCAGGCTATGCTGCAATCACACTGTGCTAGATGTGTGTACTACTGTAGCATAGAGTCTCAAGATTTGATAATTATGTTTCATCCAAACCTAGCCTGTCTTTACTTGTCATATAAACAAATGCTAGAGCTGTACGGCATAATCTTCATTAGTATGTACAGCGTTCCTGCACTCTTTGTCATGCCCGACGGGATTAGGAGTGCTCTTATCAGGCCTTGCGGTACTGGAAGGTTGGTTTTGATTAAAACGCTATTTCTTTCATTCTGTCGCGCGTTCTTGCTGTATGTCTTTCTTTCCGTCCTTCGTTGCATCTGCCTTTCTTTCGCTTGTGTCTTTGTTTATTCGAGTACGTCTTTCGTGTTTGTCTGTCTTTTTTCAGTTCAGTCAAGTCTCTTTCCGTCTCTCTTGCTTGTTTGCTTGCTTGCTGAGGGGTCTATGGCCTCAAGAGACCCTTGGCCCGAAGTCCCCCGAATGCACAATCGATGACCCAGCTCCCCAAACCAAATCCAAGACCATCACCGCTGCAAAACCAATGGATTGTGGCCATTTGGGCTATCCGCGCTCTTCCGTCTCTCTCTTTGCTTTGCTTTGCTCCCCCTCTCTCTCTTCTTCTTCTTCCGCCGGGCATGAGGGGCTGTTAAGACCCCTCGGCCACTAGGGCCCCCCCATATTTTGTGGGGACTTTGGAGGAGTGTGACAAGTTTCGTGGTTTTTGTTCCCCGACGGATCTTCATGGAACGACAACAAGTATTGCAAAAAACAACTACTTGGTGTGAGATAGTAACCCCATGAGTTTGATCCCCGGGAACGTCAAACTACACTGTGCTATCAGGACTGCCATCTTGGTCCGGGGTCTTCGCGCATAAACACAACACAATGATACCACAAGTGATAGGGACAGCTGAAAGCTACTCGTACCCCTGCTGGTTTCTGCACCTGAGAAGGCAAACCTATCCTACCCAAGAGGTTCTGGCGCTTCACTCTTCCTCAGTTCATCTCGATGTCGGTGTAACAGCCCCGAGCTCGTTTCTCCCGCCGGCCCCTCTGGCGGCATTGCTTTTGGCGGCGTCCGGGTCGGCCCCGTTGCTTCCTCCTCTGGCCTCATCTCCCCCTCCATGGCTTGGTTTTTGTCACGACCCTCATTGGTTCAGCTGGCGAAAACTGTTCTCTTCGGTTTGCTTAGCCGTCTGGTTGCAAAGGGCCAGCCTCCCCAATGAGTTCTTTGCTGCCGTAAGCCTTCTGAGTGAATGTCCTGGTCTGTCTGATGAAAAAGTTCTGTGGCAGGCAAAAACGTGCTTGAATTAACGGCCCCCGCGTATCTGTTGCACGCAGGTGGCACACCTCGGATTGGTTTGTTGGTAGGTAACATGCACCCCCCTTGGTCTCTGCCTTGACTCAGGGGCCCACCCCTAATTCAGCTATCTTCTACCGGGAGCCTGATGGCATCCTTGTTCCCGGGAGTGGGCCGGCTACGCAAACCCCGCCGCCCTCAACCCCCTTCACCCCCGCGTTAACGGGAGTTTTGGTGGGCTGGGACTTTAGGGCGCGCCCGTACACGACACCCCGCCAAGAACGTGCCTTCCCCTTTGCCGTACGAACACCTGTCTTGAAGGCGGCCATGGCCAGGCTGCAGCTTTGGCAGTCTAAAGCTAAAGTGCGTCTTACAACAAACCCACTGCGAGTCCTGGCAACGACTGGCAAGCCTGAGCACCCCTGAAATAGCACCCCCAACTCGGGAATTCCCAACCCCCCCGAAACACGCGACAACCCTCAAAATTGAGCTCCCCTCTGTTGGCAGCTCCGGCTTTGGACGGGGTGTTATCTCGGGTTACGCTGGATAAGCAAGGCTCCGATCCGGCAATAGCCCCCCACCTAGAGGTCGCCACAACAACTCATAAGTATTATGCCGTCCTCTCCCGGGTTTACGCTGCTTGAACACTGGAGGCTGCACACTGGCTCAAGCCAGAAGAGAGAGGGCGGGTTTCTCTCCCCCGACTTGAGCCAAAATGGCTACCCCCTCTCTCTCTCTCTCTCTCTCTCCTCCTGTCGTTCTTTCGCTGGGGCCTTGTTATTTATGTCTTTCTGTCTTAGTTATTGCTGTCGTTCGTTCGCTTATTCGGCATTTCTTTCCCTCCTTGCTCTCTTTCTGCCGCACCCGCCACCCGCGTTTCCCGCCCACCCCCCCGCCCCATCAAAGAAAAAGTCGACACAAATTGGGTCCCCTTTCTAAAGGACCCTCCCCGGCTGCATCAACTATGGCATAATCGGCGAATAGCATTCCCGGACGCATTGCCGCAAGTCCTTGAGTTCGTGCCTGCTCAGAGGACTGGTGGTGTCCTCTCGAAGCTCCATTGGTTCAAGGTTTCAGGGCATTCGATTTGCCATGTCTTCAAGGTTAGGAGGTTTAGCTAACTTCGCGATGGGAAGTTCTTCTGATGTGAAGCAGGTCAGAGCATGTCGGAGACTCTTTGCGCAAGACTTGCATGTCACGAAGTCCTGCCACAATTTCCGATTCGCCTGAAGTAAGTCGCGAGAGTATCACAACCCGAGCAACGGGTTCACTAGCGACAAAAACGTGGCTCAACTTTGGGAAAGCGGATCCAACAGGTTGCCCGTATGCTGATGCCCAATCGGGACATGAACCGGACAGGAAATCGCAGCATTCGCAGCCAAGCTTGTAGTTCAGAGACATTCCGTGCTCTCCGTCCTGCTCCTCTTTGTGTGAGTGCTTCCGCCTTGTTGGAGGCCTGTCGGACAGCTAGGCAAGGAATCATCGAAGAGCACACAATGAGCAGGCAAATCTGAGTAATATTTGAGACTGCCTAAAGCTTTACAAAGCACTGCGTCAATACTGAGTCTTACCCGATATTGGAACACATCGAAGTTTCGGCTGGCACGCAGTACATTTGGGTTGGAAATTCGCTGCAAACGCTTTCAGGAATCTGCCAGGTATACAGAGACAATAAACCCAAAGAGCCCTAGCCTGAAGAAAGAGGTTCTTTGCAGAGGAGGACATGGAAGTGCTCTTAGTACTTTGCTTAAGAAGCCCTGATGCACTGCCTGTCATTCTCTCCCCTTCAAAAACGAAGCCCTGAATTAAATCTCATGGCGATACCCCCGGGCCACAACCCCCAATTTTCACAGAAAACACAATTTTTAGTATCCCCACAAAACACAACGGCAACAGGGGGGAATATCTGTGTCCTGTGTCCAGAACTCCTCCCAGGCGGTGGACTGCCGAGCTGCAAGCAGATCATGGTCCTTCCGATATGATGAAGGGGAAGAGCACTAGCAGACCAAACACGTCCATCCGCTGCCTCCTATGGGCCCACATAACTCTGCTTATCTGTTGCGGGGTCCATGAAGACGCGGAGATGCCGCGGCACTGCAAAGGGCGGTTCCAAGTGCAAGGCACGAAGCGGTCCTGAGAAGCAGGGAGCCAAAGAAGCGGAGCTTCAAAGAACTCGGCACCCAAGGGCGCCTTGAGGGCCACGTTCGGTTCTGAGATCGCGGATGTCCCAGTCACGAGTCCTTGAATTTCCAAAGGCCTATTAACTACGACACTATATGGGCTTTATGAAGCATCTTTTGCCAATTTTTTTGTGCTCGTATCACGGAGGAACAGCGGCTAGTCCCATGCTGTGACGTGTACTGACGATCGGAGCCAGAAGCTGGCTGGGCTGTCGACAGAACACACAACGCACAGGTGGGTTTTGGATTTTTGTGCTGGAACTCCACATTAGCGGGATTCGTGCTACATGAAATGGACTAGGACCAGGAATTCGCTGATGGCTGGTGGTACACGTGCATGACTACCCCGTGGGGTTGGCCGAACAGTCTGAGTGCAGCCAGCAGCTATAGAAGCATCATCTACAAAAAGACTTTGCTAATCCGTCATGGCTCTCAAAATGCCACATAGCAGTGCGTGAAATCTTTGTGTGGTCCGTCACTCGCGGATCCACAACAACTGCGTCGGCAGCATCTGCATTCACCAGAAGCCATGACAGGTCGCCCTTTCCTGCACAGTCGAAGGCAGATGGCAGCAGTGCAGGACGCTCATGTTGCCTCCGCGAGCTTATGATCATGAGGCACACACCCATCGCTTGCTTACTAAGCTTACACACTTGGAAAACAGCAACAACAACACACCAAAGGCAGCTGATTAGCATAGCCACAAGCTGGCATTCAAAACACCTGTGATTTTCCAACTCTGACCTCCAGCCATGTCCAAGACAGGTCCGCTGCGCAGCTCTTCTTCGAAGGTCCGAACCACGAAATCGCGGAAGGCAAAAACGCGGTCGCGCTGCGGGACGGTGGCCTTAAGGAGGATGCACGACGACCGTGCCATGTGTCCATCTCTCCAGCTGAATATCACTGAGCACGCCGGAAGTTATTTAAAATCGGGGCGAATGCTTCAAGGAATGACCGGAGCACGCCTCAAGAGGTGCTTTCGAGAGGCCATCGTTGTGGCAGCTGCCAGTACCCATGGCGCGCCCACAAACGATTCGAGTTAAGCTGCGGCTGTGCGCAAAATCTCGGCAACTGCCAACTTAATTGTTTGTCGTTGTCACTTTACATCTGTAAGGATGGTCGGATCCATTAGAGCACCAACCGTCACTACCAAAGCCATCGAGATTCGATGCAGTGCGGATTGCTTGAGACGACAGTCAGTGAAAGCTGGCTGGAGGTCAAGGTCCCTCTTCCACCCACACCAGCAGTATTCAAAGACGGATGCTCTGGTCAAACCTCGAATCTACAGGACTTGGCTGACTTTCCGAGCTCCTACGGAGTCAAGTTTGACAGCAGCTGTGATAGGTAGTGGGCAGCACTGCTGCCCGCTGGTGGTTCCAAAATGGGGAGGGAGGGAGAGAGAGAGAGAGAGAGAGAGAGAGACAGAGAGAGACAGAGAGAGACAGAGAGAGGCAGACAGAGACAGACAGACACAAACACACACAAACACACACAGAGGAGCACGGCGATTAACGATGGCTCGATACTTGCAAGGATGAAACAAAGCCTAAGACCTAAGAATCGGAACTCCCGAGCTTTCAAGCATGACACAAGCAACCACCTGCTCCATGAAGACCATGCCACAGCGTGACACCGTGGCCGGTGAAGCGGCGGATAAGTCCTCGCGACTACTGCTCGAAGTGCGATGTGAGAGGTGAAAGTGCGACTATAACTTGCTTTCTGCTTGAACGTTTATGTGTCCTCCACCTCAAACATCATCGTGGTCACCTAGGTCTCAAAAGATCAAAAAGCTTGGCACCTGGAGCGGCCCTGCTTCCTCGTCGTCAAACATGTCCCCAAACCTTTCAAAACCGAGTGCCAAACCACAACAACCGAAGACTGAGTAATCACTGAGAACGCACGCCGGGCTCAGCTTGATGATCTCACCGCTGTTGAGACAGAGCTTCTTGTTGTCCTGGCTGTGCATGGAGGACAACGTAAGCAACATGGATGTATCGTAGCGCAACTTGAAGTGTCGCCGCGAATGCGACTTGGAGCACCCCAAAGGTCACAAGCCTCACCATCTAAAGTCTTCCTGCACGCACCCCAAACCCATGTGCCCGAAGCAGGCTAATGGCACATCGAGGACCGTGTTCATGTTCTCGATCCACACAGCATCCACGGGCCCATCCTTTGCAAGCCACTTTACGTTCTAATCGCCCAGAAGCCAAGAGAATGCTCTTTCCTAGCTTTGGCTTGTTCAGACTTCAAGGCTCGCAGCTCTAGACTCTAGACTCCATGGCCACTCTGGCGGTGCACCGAAGGAACGGCCGAGCTTCGCACTTGAACCCTCCTCAAGCTTCGGAAGTGCGTCTCAAAACACTGGCTCGGCAATAGCCCGACGAAACCATGGACACCACATGTACCGGGCTTGCGACCAGCATGATCCACTGACGGTAGGCCGGATCGGCATTGGCGGTATAGCGGACCTTTGTGTCCGTCAAGAGTCGTGGAGGGGTGGCGAAAGGTGGGGGAGGGATTTCCCACCCAAACCTCGACCTCTTCTCCAACCTCCATCCTGAGGCTCGAGGGCGGAGCAGAGCAAGCCGAGCCCTATTTTGGCACCCTATTCCAGCCCTGTTCCGACATGAGGTTGAACGTAAGACTATGGGTCGAAAAAAGCAGGGAAGTGGAACCGAGGTCGCAACAGGGTCAGAAGAAGGGTTGGCATAGGGCATGGGGGTCAGAACAGTTGGCATATAAGGGTCGGAATGGGGAGTGCCTATCAAACTCGTGTTCGGACGGTATCTACACTACATCTCTATTCGAGACTCCATCACAACCAGTTTCACGAACCTGCTGAGTCCTTCAAGCCATATCCGGAACTGTAACAAGGCATACACTGCCAGACATGTACCAGACTCCGATAATATGTAGGCAGGATTCCGTCCCCAAGCAACGTTGGGTCTATGTGGTGGTTCAACAAGAGCACCTGCTGCCAGACAGATTTAGCAAGGCTCGGACCTCCTGACCTTTCGGAATGGCCTGGAAGCCACTCGCCGACCCTCCCGCAAACAGTCTGCCAAGGGGCTGTCAGCGCCAGAATTCCATCCGTCCACTCGTGGGTGTTCTCATCGAAGTCACCGTACAGCTGGCCCTGCTTGATGGACCTCGAAAGTGCAGCCAGTTCAAAGCGGCAGGCTTCGGCAGCCACGAGCTACAGCACCCTGGGTGTGCAACAGGAAGCGTTTGCGGCATGCAACCCCCACCTACACCTGCAACAGCAGACCTAAAGGTACGATTGTCCATAGCGCCATCTCCTCACCAGCTAAATTACTTGCCGGACTAAACTCAGCCGTGGCATCTGTAGCCTTGAGCACGGAACTCGGCTACAACTGTTCATCCCGGCCCGCGAGCTGGCAGTGCAAACATGGGCTTCCAGCTTTGGATTGATCTTGTGGATCTGGCAGGGTAGGTAGAGGTCACCTGCGGGTCCGAGGCAAGCAGAGCTTGTAGGCAACCCAACACAACTGAGACCGTACTGCAAGCTGTCTTGGAGCTTGAGAAACCAAAGAATGAACACTGCGAGGGAAGCCAAGAAGCATGAGCTCCGCAGGGTACCAGTTGGGGGATTTTGTTGGTTTCGTTTCTGGGAATCATACGCTTGCAAAGCCTCCTCATACAAGCTCAAGCCGAAGGAGGAACTGTGCTGGGATGGGAAGGGCTCGGCACCGTCTGCCACAGCTGCCAAGGCAGCCGCAAGAACGTGCTCCACCTGTCAAAAAGCATGCCATGCCGGCGAGGCCATGCCAGCTCGCAGTCATGACCCTAGGGCCCTAAGCTGAATTGGCCAAGTCCGGCAAACTGTAAACCAAATAACGAGGTGTAGTGGTACTGCTTGAGCTTGTCGGGGTCGACCTCTAGGAGGCCTCGTCTGAATCTCTCGGTGTTCAGGCTTGCCTAGAAGATCTTTTCGGAGGCTCAGATGTACAAGTTCATCGATGCAGGCGGTTGCGGTTTGTGTTGACACCAACACATGACTTCACGGCTGTGGTTCCGCAATTCCATGAGCGCGGCCTCGGACTTGCCGGACACGTTCATACCTCAGCAATGTCTGACAAATCACCTTTCAACCGATCCGTCTTTCTATCAGGGAAACTACCTTGCGAGGCATGTCAACTGCAAAGTCGCTGGTGTCCACCTGGATGTCGGCACGTTTCTGAGCTCGCTACCCACAACCATCAGGCCGTGCCTGTTTAAAAACCAAAGCAGTCGCTTCTTGAACTCAGCAGGCAGGCAATGATACGATCGGGACGTCTGTCAAAGTCAGGATGAGAAGGATGCGAGACATGCAAGGGGAGAGCGCGTGTTTCAGGCTTGAGTGCACCGCCGTCGGCAAAAGCATTTGGGATGCTCATCAGCTTCTCATTCGTTTCGACCCACAAAGCAACTTGAACTAAAGCCCGATCGGTGCAATCTCCGAGCTGCCACGGCTTGTCATGTAATGACGCTTTATGCAAAAGGGTTAGGGGCCTGACTCCATCCGTCCGTGGAAGCGACTCTTTAAACTTGAGCTGACAACTGCACAACTTCAAGGCTATCGGAACAGTTGCAGGGAGCTCTTGTTCTTTACGGTTCTTTCGCGGCTGCGAACGCTGCCCTAATCTCGCTCCGGGAGAACCATGATTGCTGGAGAATGCTGCCCTGAAAGTAAGATAACCATAACCCCGTACAAAGCTCAAGATTCAGAGTTTCAGAAACTGATGTGAATGATTAGCTGAGGCCAGCCCTGCCTCACCATGATGGTTTCCCAGAGCTGGGTGCACTTGTGGATGAAGGAGGCCTGAATGTGCATCCGCTGGTCTCCCACTGAGAGAAGTTGGCAGGGCTGGATTGAGATATATGACATATGAACTAGGCCTAGGCAGATATCTCGCTCCACCAAGCACGTTCTACTTGTCGCCGAGCCGAAAATCTCTCACAGTCTCTCGCCTTCAATAACCGAGCCCCGACAATGCTTTACGAAAGTATGCCAACCCACAGAGGTGGAAGGTCCCTCTTTGACAATGTACGCGGCCTCTCGAATCTTCAAAAACTCTCGGCTGGCCTTAGGCTGCAGATGCCGCGTTCGGGCAGCACCTTAGTTGACCAGGGCCATTAAGTACCGAGGCTTCGGAGCCCATGAGCCCGAACCTTCCAACTCGTTGATGAGCTTGCCGTAGTCTGACGGTGGAAGCCTCGGCCAAAACGAGCTCCAGCCCAGGCCAGGATGCACAGACGCATTAAAAAGGGCGAGCTTACGCTTTGCTACTCTGGGCCGCGCACTTCACTCCTGGGAAAAGGTCGCCAGTGATTCCCAAGAACAGCGGGATGTCCTGGACTCTTCAGTTGATCTGGTCTGCTGATGCCCCAATACGCATCACATCGCTGCATCGTTGTGTTCTCATTTGCGCCCCTCCGGGCTGCAGACAGTCACGTCTCTATCCAGTGCCGGCGAGTCGCATTAGAAGTGAACTTGGGCAGGTTTACGTCCTTGCCGAGGGGAAGGGGCTGCAAAGAGTCAGAGGGATTCGCAAGCCTTCTACAAGCAGGGTAAGTTGGGTTTTCGATGGATGAACACACAAGTTGCCAGCGATGTGCAAACGTGTTTGAGAGGGACTATAATCGCTCGGTACTCGGGGACAGACATGATTCGGAGGCAAGCCATGCAAGCATCATCAAATAGTTGTGGCGACTCTCTTTTACAACTGGACTCTCACGAATGCCAGCAGCAAAGACAAAGGACTCGTGCTTTCCATCTCCACTCTCTCTCGCTCCCACGCTCTGCTATGACTCAGTCGTTGTAGCAACTGTCTGGCAAACACACAGCTTTCTGACTGCGGTGCCATGCCGCTTCTAGGTGCAGGCATCTCCGAGCGTCGGGAGACTTTGTGCAACAAAACCGTTTTTCGGCTGCCTCTTGGAACCAATCGCGAACTGAGGGAAGACTGTTGGGGGGAGGGTCATTGTTGC